CTATGCATAAAACCCCATCTTTGTACTAGTACCAGATATAGGTGTCATGCCAAAACTATTTTTAATACGACTGGCTTTGTATTTAATGTGAATTTAATAAAAACATTATAAGTTAATTACACTTTCAATGTACAGAACAAGAGCAAAGAACATTTTCACTGACTTCAGTCTAGCCAGAGTTCAGGCACTCTGAAAAACTCCCATTATAATCACTGAAGCTGTTTACACTGTGAAATTAATATCTTATTTACATCGTACGCACATCTGCACTTTATTGTTTCTGATGAGAGAATTTGCCAGAGAGCAGAATTCAGTCAGTGACCGCGCGCACTGAACAAAAGGCAATGACTGATGCGCTTGTATTATGAGCTCTGTTATAAGTCCCACAGTGGACAACAAAACCGTAACGCTTGAGCAACGAGAACGGTTCGCTGGAAAAGTGGCTAAAATAGATCAAAACTACTAGGCTATAACTATGCATAAAACCCCATCTTTGTACTAGTACCAGATATAGGTGTCATGCCAAAACTATTTTTAATACGACTGGCTTTGTATTTAATGTGAATTTAATAAAAACATTATAAGTTAATTACACTTTCAATGTACAGAACAAGAGCAAAGAACATTTTCACTGACTTCAGTCTAGCCAGAGTTCAGGCACTCTGAAAAACTCCCATTATAATCACTGAAGCTGTTTACACTGTGAAATTAATATCTTATTTACATCGTACGCACATCTGCACTTTATTGTTTCTGATGAGAGAATTTGCCAGAGAGCAGAATTCAGTCAGTGACCGCGCGCACTGAACAAAACACCGGCGTTTCAGCGGTGACTCATCTGAATGCCTCTGATTGGCCACTGCATTCATAAGCTCAACAGAATCGCGTGTGATTGGTTATAACGCTCAGCGTTAGGCTGGCGAAGGCAGATTTGAATTTAGCAGCTGGTGATGTGAGCACTGAACGTTCTAACCGTGTCTGTGTGATCCCTTACTAAAATTAACCATGGTTTTACTACAAATTAAACCAAAAAAACATGGTTACTATAGTTAAAGCATGGTAACCACAAATTAACCATGGGTTTGCTACACTAACCATAGTTTAAACATGCTATTTGTAGTAAAACAATTTACAAATGGTAATCCATAAGACAAAAAAACAAATATAAACATGTCTTTTGGAAGCTGCATTCAAAATCCACTTCGCTCAAAAATCAGTTTGAATGGGCATGACACCTCTGCAGTGTTTCTTATATTCTGTTTATGAGAAATATATGTTATCTTTCTGTGACATTAGTTTAGAAGAAAGCAACTTTGGCATAAATTGGCATTATGATCGGACGATAAAACGACACATTGTCATTTTTTATTATTATAGATTAACATATTACAAATATATTGTCTCTATACACATTATTTAAATACCAATACAAATTTCTTAAACTAGAGGAGCCAGGGTAATTTGAATACTACTACTACTACTAATAAAAAAAATAAAAATTAAAAGGACTTTTCTAGAATCTTTACAACTTTACAAAAAACAAAGTGCAGTGACTTCAGGTCAAAAATAAATGAGGTTATTTGGGGAGACGGAAACGTCACAAAATGCCTTCGGTGCACAACAATAACAAAAGAGAAAAAAATACACTCTTGTATTGTTTATGAAAAGAGAAAGACTAAGATAGGTTATCTTGCTGTTCTGAGCGCATGCAGCTGAAGGACCTTCATGTAGCAGGTCGAATAGTAAACAATCGCAAGCACACTTTAAACACTGATGTCAAATATTATTGTGTGAATATTAATGAAGCTGTAGTGAGCGGTGATGGTGTAATTGACCGAGTCCAGACGGTGAGAGCAGCTGGAGTGACTCTGCTGAAGCTCATTCACAGCTGCAGATCCATCGTTAGCCTCGTTCTCCATCAACAGCACTAATGAGCGCTCAGGAAATCCCTATCACTGCGGCCCTCTGGGAAAACCGTTCACCATACAGGCCTCCGACGACGAACCGCAGTCCTCCATGCCTGGTGCACGAGTGTGCTTTTACGCATAAAACCCTCAAAATAACATTTCCATGACCAGTTGCATAATTAGCATTGATATCAACTATTTTGAGTGCCATTTGCTTGTGCAAAACTCACCACAATGATGCTAAGGTGTCATAGGTGGCTGCTAAAGTGTTCTGTATTACATCCCAGTTAGATACTAAGGGTTTGATCAAACCAGCTTGATTTAATGCATTACAAACAACTCTGTCCATCCTCAGTGTGTCCTCAAAGTAAAAAGGTAAAGGATAAAAGTAAGAGGCTGAAAGTTAAAGGTTATATAGGACACAAAAGTAAAAGCAGATAACTTTGCTAAAGGTGAAAGAATAAAAAGTAAAGAACAAAGTGAAAATAAAAAAGTAACGAAAACTGAAAGTAAAAGATTAAAAGTAAAGGAAAATGTAAAAAAGATGCGAAAAAGAAGTGAAAATTGTAAAGAATAGGAAAAAAAGTGAAAGTAACAGAACTAAAAGATGCAGAAAGTGAAAGATTAAAAAGTTTGTAAAAATAAAAAAATGCTAAAAGTGAAAGATAAAGTGAAAGAAAAAAATATATTAAAGTAAAAAAGTGAAGGATACTGAAAGTAAAAGATTAAAAATAAAACACATGAAAAGGAAAAAAAATGAAAGTAAAAGATAGAAAAGTGAAAGATTAAAAAGTAAAAGACAAAGTAAAAAAAGACACTAAAAGTAAAAAAAATAAAAACAAAGGAGATTTTTTTTAAAAAAAGCAAAAAAGTAAAAGAGAGTAAAAATAAAACATTAAAAACTAAAGGACATAAAGTAAAACAAACACTTAAAGTAAAAAATAAAAAAAAGTAAAAAACACAACGTAAAAGATAAAAAGAAAGAAAGTAGAAGCTCCGACTCTTAAATTATGGCTGACGGAGCTCTTGGGGACTCTTCACTTTGAAAGAATTAGGTATACCCTAAATGATAAGATTCTGTTATTTGAAAAAATCTGGTCCCCTTTTATTTCTTTTTTGAAACACACTTCAAACTAAAGCTGCTTAAAAGATTTTTCACAGCGATGCCACAGAAGAACCAATTCTGGTTCCACAAAGAAGCATTCAGTCAAAGAACATCTCTTTCTTACCTTTTTATAACCTGAAGAACCTTCTTATCTACCTCAGAGAACAGTCGGACCAAATTGTTTAATCTCATTTGATCATTTGTAATGTTATTTCTGTTATTACTACCATTGTATACTTATTAATATTACTCGTGTAGCCTCATCTCAATTTGCACATCTGTTACTGCTGCTATTGTTATCATGTACTTGCACTCAATTTGCACGTTACTGCACTATTGTTTTTTTTGCATATAAGTTAATACTGTACATTCGCATATGTAGATACCATATACATAGTCTATATTTCTATTTTCACATTCAAAATTTCTACTCTATACTCGCATATATAGATACACAGTCTATATTTAAATTTTTATTCCTAATACTGCAGCATAGTTTTTATTATTATGTTTCTTACATTGTATGTACAGTATGTGTGTATAGCTTGTGTATAGCATTGCACTGGCATTCATTGTGGACAGCAAAGTAAGAATTTCATTGCTCGGGGAAACTTGTTTTCCTCACTGGGCATATGACAATAAACGCTCTGAATCCTTGAATCCTTCTTTCACCACAAAAAACACCTTTTGTGAAACAGAAAGATTAAAGTTTCTTTACGGAAGCATTTAGACGAAAAAGGTTCTTCTATGGCATCGTGAAGCACCTTTATTTTTAAGAGTGAAGGTTGTGATTGATACCTGGATTGTTCTCAGCAAACCTATGATTAATGTGTTTATTATGCCTTCACCTCCAATTTTTATCATTGGATAGCACTCTTGGGTTATGCTTTTTGGGTTATATTTTTTTTAATTTATTCATTACATTTTATTTCTCCTTTTTTTTTTAGACTAAGTTTTATTTATCTGTTGTCATTATAAAAAAAAAGTGAAGTTGCAAGGGTTCGTTTGCTGAATTCCTTAATAACAATATTTAAACACAAAAAGAGAGTGAAAGTCCAGAGGTTTCCCATCACATGGGTCCTCGCAGATCTCCACATGACGCCATCGCTCAGAAATCACAACTCCAGCAGATCTCACACATTCTCCTGCGTGAAGTTCCCAGGTCCTTGCGCTCGGCGCTCTATCAGCGCTTTGGTTTTGACTGCATCAGGAGTCTGCCAGCTGAATGTCACGTCGCCCCAGTGACCGGATTCCTCCCTCCGTCTCTCCCACACAGATAGAGGAGACCGCAGCTGCGCTCCGTATCCACGGCCCATGAGCACGACCCGACCTTCACCCGGTGGGACCAGACTGAGCGAACAACATCAAACCTCATTCTGAAGATGCTTTCGCAGACGCTTCATGTGCACAAATAACAGCTCATCCCAAACCAACACTGTGTGCAGTCTGGACGCTTTTATTTATAAAATGCAACTTCGAAAAGCGATTTAATAAATTCTTCACTAACTAAAATAACTTTTTTCTGCTTCATATGGAAGCCTATTTATGCCACAGAATAAAAAATAAAAAAAGGTAATTGCTACTTTTTATCTCTCAGTTTCTTGCAATTACATCTCATATCCTTTTTTGTAGAATCACAAGATATAAACTCAGATTTGTGACAGAAACTTGAATTGCAACAAACTCAAGAATAGTGACGTATCAACTCAGAATTGCGACAGAAACTCAAGAACTGCGAGATATAGACTCAGATTTGTGATATAAACTTGAATTGCAACAAACTCAAGAATAGCGACGTTTCAACTCAGAATTGCGAGACAAAAACTCAGAATTGCAAGAAAAAAAGACAGAATTGTGAGATAAAAACTCAGAATTGCGACGTATAAACTTGCATTTCAGAGAAAAGTGTCAGAATTGCGAGATATAAACTTAGAATTGCAAGAAAAAAGACAGAATTGTGAGATAAAAAGCTATAAACTTTTTTATTCTTTTTTCCTCAAGCTTCCAAAGGATATTTTCCACACTAGAAATGGAAGGTCAAGCCAAATGCACATTGTGTGCATAGAGATACGCAACTGTAGCTGGTTTTATTTATAAAATGCAACTTCAAGAGGGATTCAGTGAAAACTCCTCACTTACTAAAACTTGTATGGTGTCGTTCAGGGGAAACGATCACGGTTTGTTTAAAGTCTCTCTGAGTTACTGCAGAATATCACTGAACATCTTCCTTTTCTTCGACTCTCCCGTTTGAACCTCCTGCCAATCGGCCCGTCGCTTCATGAAGTTTGTCAGACCAAATTTGGCCCAAATGTGCCGTGCGAACTGATCGGATCGGAGCTGACTTCCACTGGGGACTGAGAGAGGAGAGAGAATATAACACACTTTGATCACAACATCAGCCGCTCTGATGGATCAACTTGTGCAAGGACAACGGCAAATTACTTTGGGAAGTTGACAGTGTAACATGCTTTACTCGATCTAAAACAACTTCACATGACTCTGTCATGAGCTCATATTAACTGGAAGAATAACAAACTTTCCGGAACATAAGTTGCGAGAAGATTGTAGAAATATATCACTCCATCACTCTCTGCAGTGAATGGGTGCCGTCAGAATGAGAGTCCAAACAGCTGATAAAAACATCACAATAATCCACAAATAATCCACAGCACTCCAGTCCATCAGTTAACATCTGGAGAAGACAAAAGCTGAAACTAATCCAGCATTAAGATGTTTTTAACTCATATGAGTCCATAATCCATAATAAGGCTTCCTCCAGTGAGTCAGTGTTCTGGTGTGAATCAGGAGAGAAATCTGCACAGATCAAGCAGCGTTTAAACAGCTCTAAACTAATATGTGGCTGGATTTTGATGTGAGAGACAACAGCAGATGCACTGTTTTATCAGCTGTTTGGACTCTCATTCTGACGGCACCCATTCATTGCTGAGACACTGATGCAATGTTACATTTCTACAAACCTGATGAAGAAACAAACTCGGCTGAACAGTTATTTCTTTAAAGCATGTGAAATGAAATGTAAAGTCATCTCACCCAGTTTCTCAGCGATGCTTTGTCTCTGGCTGACGGTGGCGCTGTTCCACACGGCTTCTAACAGACGGCTGCCGCAGCTGGAACAGGCCAGCTGAACGTAAAGCTCCTGCGAGGATTGCAATTTTGAAAGCTGAATAAATAAGCTTTCCATTGATGTATGGTTTGTTAGGATAGCACAATATTTGAAAATCTGGAATCTGAGGGTGCAAAAAAATCTAAATATTGAGAAAATCATCTTTAAAGTTGTTCAAATGAAGTTCTTAGCAATGCATATTACTAATCAAACATTAAGTTCTGATATATTTACGTGTAAAATATCTTTATGGAACATGATCTTTACTTAATATCCTAATGATTTTTGGCATAAAAGAAAAATTTATAATTGTGACCCATACTATGTATTGTTGGCTATTGCTACAAATATCCCCCAGCGACTCAACACTGCTTTTGTGCTGCAGGGACACATATGCGTTTGTGATGTTTTACCTCCAGCTTTCTCAAGATCTTTCCTCTGCCCTTATCGCTGGCCGCGGTCAGCAGCTTCTGGAGCGCGTGGCTGCCGAAGCGGTCAGTGCCGAGGGTCAGCAGGTCAGCGGAGCCGAGCCCGTGAAGGCTGTTCATCAGGACGGATCGATCTTTGAATCCGGCGAGAGCTTGAACCAGCCGCGATCCGTGATAAGATACGGAGAGCCGGCGCTGCACAGGCTAAAAGCACAGAGTGCATGTTACCTGCATACTACACACTTCAGCTCTGTTTAAACAGCACAGCAACACAAACATTTCAAACAGTAGCTTGATACAATGTTCACACATGACCTCATCATTCATTTATTAAGCGCTAGCTTTAAACTTCATATATTTGATATTCAAAATTATCAAATCGTAACGGCTGTGTATTAAACAAACAAACAAATAAATGTGCTGTGAGTTTATTTATTTGCTGGAAAACCACCAAAAATAAAAGCTTGATATAAATGTTGTTTAATATTTGAAAATAAAGAAATTGAGATGTATATATAAATGTTGTAATTTTTCAGTTTTACTAGAAAATGAAATTATATTTATTTTATTAAATACTAATTTTTATTTAAAGCAGAACAACATTATTACAATACATTTCTTCTTTATATATATATATTTTTTATATATATAATATTGTCAATAGAAATAAAGGATGCTATGCACTCAAGAAAAAAAATAATCCAGAGGGGGGGGGGAAATCATGTTTAAGCTTTATAATAAATATAAAAGATATATATATATATATATATATTTTTATAAAATATTATTAAAAAAAATATTATTTTTAAAATGAAATATTTTATAAGATTTTTTTTTATAAAAGATCTTTTTTCTTTATAAAAAATATAAAAGTTCTCTCTCTATATATATATATATATATATGTGTGTGTGTGTGTTTTATGGAAAAAATATATATACTGTATGTATGTATGCATGTATATATCAATGTCATTATAATTCTTTTCTATAAAATATATTTTCTATGGATTTGCAGATGCAGTACGGTACAAAATAACTGCAATCGTTGAAGAATTATTAATTCTTTCCAAATACAGCCATTCATGTCACAGAAAAACTGAATATTGCAATGTCGTTTTTTCCTCTATTATGCAGCCCAGCGGCATCCAGTTAGACTTGAAAGTGATGCACTTTTATGTGTAAAATGCAGTTTTGAAAGCTTTAACCATCATTAACCAGTCAAACTCGTGGCTGATGTTACCTCCGCTTCTTTGCCACATTAGAAGATCAAGTCAAATGCATTTCACAACACATTGCATTGTGGGATACGGAGCTGTGTTCACACACTGCACACAATACACATGCTGTAAAACTAGAAAGAGTGTGTGACGGAGCACCTGTGTGACGGCGTCTCCCTCTGCTGTCTCGGTGTTGTAGTACACTTCATACGCCAGTAAGGACAGAAAGAGAGGCAGACAGGAGACCTGCAGAGAGGCTGGTTCACTGCAGTGAAATGCCTGATGGGAAATGAAGCTCAAATGAAACACCAGTGTACTGTATACTGGCAACTACTTATGAAGAACAGAACGAGAAATAGTTTGCATAAATAAACAATACAAATGTGTGACGCAGGATGCATTCTCTGAGTTTATGCTGCACATTCTGATAAATGTAGTTGTCATCCAGGTATTTCATGCAGACAGCATTAGCACACTGAGTAGTATGCATACTGTACAATGCAGAAGTTGTAAGAGTAATATTATAGTAGCTTTGCAATTTTGTTTGGGTGCCCAAATTATACACTTCACCGTTCATGTGTCATTTTAGTATTATTAAGATAGTAGATAGACAGTATTATTAATATATTTTAAAAGGTCTTGTATTTTTATATTTTCATTGTTTTTATTTTTAGGTTTTATTGTTATTTTGAAATTGCATTTGTTTTTCATTTTCATATTTTTACATTTAAGTTTTAGTAATTTTGCTGTTTTTATTAATATTCTGAAAAGGTTTTTGTATTTTTACATTTTTCATTTTAATTTTTTAAGTTCAAGTTTTAGCAATTGTGTGTTTTGTTATTTTTATTTGCCATTGTTCAGCGCTAGCTTAGTATAGAGATACTATTGTAGTTTTTATAATTTTTTAAAAATGATTTTTATATTTTTTTAATTTAGTTCAAGTTTTAGTAATTTTATTGTTTTTTTCCCCTTCATTTTATTAGATTTTTTAAAAGTATGTCTATATAACTTTTTATTTATGGTTTTTTCCAGTTTTAGTTATTTTAGTACATCAAGTTAAACTAACTCAAAATTAAGTTTTTTTAAATATTTTTTTTAGTTAATTTTATTTCAAGCAGCCAAAATGTTGGATGGTTTTAGTTACCTATAACAACCTCTTGATCATTAAAGACGTACTTTCAGGGCAGCAGCAGATCAATACAGCATTGAAATACAGCATTAGGCTGATTATAGTCAGAGGTCAGTGCAGCAGCTGGTGTGTACCTGCAGGAGGCGCTGCAGCAGTGCATTCTGCTTCTCCTCCCAATAAACACAGCTCTCCACCATCAGCACCACCACACCCATGTGACCCGCGGCCAGAATCGCCTCGAACCCCTCCATCAGCTCATCGAAGATCTTCAGGAACTGAGCACACGACAGAAAGACACATTTCAAAGGAAAGAAGATGCAAAAAAATAATAAAAACATTTACCATATATATATATATATATATAGAGAGAGTGTTGCTTTAAGGAGCCTGCTCAACATAAGAAGAAAATAATTATCAGACGCTTTTATTGTTATTCAGATTATGTTTCGTGGTTTTTGGCTGATAACAGAAGCAACTGAAAAAAATAATAAAAACAATAAAAAGAATATCAGATGCTTTTATTATTATTAAGATGTTTTTGCTAGCATTTTTTGTTAGCAAGCAAATGAAAAAAAAAGTACTTATTTTTTTAAATTATCAGATGCTTTTATTATTATTACTAAGATTATTTTAGTGTTTTATTTGCTGACAACAGCAGCAAATGAAAAAAAAACATCAGATGCTTTTATTATTATTATTATTATTATTAATTGGCTGTTAAACAAATTAAACATTATTTTTAAATAAAACAATATCAGATACTTTTATTATTATTAAGATTTTTTTGTAGTTTTTGGCTGATAACAGAAGCGACTGAAAAACTGATAAAAAAATGATCAGATGCTTTTATTATTATTATTAAGATGTTTTTTGTTAGCAAGCAAATAAATTTTTTTTAAAAATATGTTTAAAAATATCAGATGCTTTTATCATAATTTTTTAGCCGATAACAAAAGCAAACGAAAAAAAAATAATACAAATTATCAGATGCTTTTATTATTATTAAGATAATTTTCGTGCTTTTTGGAACAAAATTATGCTTTTATTATTATCAAGATTTTTTGTATTTTTCAGCTTATAAAAGCAGCAAATAAAAAAATTAATAAAAAGAATATCAGAAGGTTTTATTATTATTATTGGGATTATTTTTTGTGGGTTTTGGCTGATAACAGAAGCAACTGAAAAAATAAGAACAATAAAAAAAATTATCAGATGCTTTTATTACTATTAATATTTCTTTCTTGTTAGCAAGCAAATGAATTTTTTTTTTTAAATATTTTGAACAAAATTATCAGATGCTTCTATTATTATAAAGATAATTTTTTGTGCTTTTTTGGAACAAAAGAAAAGAAAATGATCAGATGCTTTTATTATTATTAAGTTTTTTTTGTATTCTTCAGCTTATAAAAGAAATGCTCCTCAGAGCCTCACTTCAGACCGAGAGAAAGCAGCAGAAACGCCCCAGAAATGACCTCTCAGTCTGCTGTGAAGCGTGTTTCTGACCTGTTTGAGCAGCAGCTGCGTCTCGGCTCAGAGATCCGCTCAGAACCTGGACCAGCGTCCGGAGCACATGCGATCCGTACGGATCCTTCAGGAACTCCGGCAGACTCTCTCTGACGACTCCACACACACGCTTCACCTGAGCCTCCAGCGTCCCACAGTGCTCCTCGTCCTCCGCTGTGACATCAGAGTCCTCCTCTTCACAAAACACACCTGATCGTGAGAAACACTCTCTGACAGAACGACTGACTCGCTTCAGAGCTTCTCGCAACGCATACAGCTCCAGCACAGCTTCACGAGAACACGCTTGCAAACGGCTGAGTGACGCCAAAGGAAAACATAACAAAAATAATTCAGAATATTAAAATCATAATAGTAATCAATAATATAATATTACAATTACTGTCCAATAAAATGATAATAATAATATTTATTATATTATTAATAATACTTACTACTATTAATGTAATAGCAACATAAATAATAATAATTAATATTACTATTATATTAATATTGTTATTATTAGGGAAAACAATAATACACATTCAAAAATGATAATAATAATAAATATTAATAATATATTACTAATACTACTAATATTATTATTATTTAAGTGTTATTATTATTGGGGGAAATAATAATACATATTCAATATAATGATTATAATAATAATAATTATTATTATTAATATATTACTTACTACTATTAATAATATTATTAATATTATTATTTTAGTATTGTTATTTTTAGGGAAAATAATACATATTCAATAAAATTATAATAATAATAATAATTATTAATAATAATACATTATTACTTACCACTATTGTTATAAATAATAATAATAATAATAATAATGTTATTATTAGGGAAAATACTAATACATATTCAACAAAATGACGATATCACAAATCCCGGAAAATATGCGTTGTAGTCCAAACGAATCATTCGTTGTAGTTTTTGAAAAGTGATTTCTGTTAAATAAAATATCTTCTTTTGAAGTGGACTTTGAGCTTTGTAACTTTGCAGATCTTTTTTATGCTCAAACAGCAACATTACAGACTAACTAAAGTTGAAAAAGTGAAAAAGCATAATAGCACCCCATTAATAATAAATATTCAATAAAACGATTATAATAATAATTATTCTTAATAATGATCAGATACTCTCACCGTTCCAGCGGTGGGCCTGTCTGAGCGCGCTCTCCATCACATGACCCCCGCACTGGTCACATGACACGCCTCTGAATTCTGACCCCGTCTCTCCTCCCAGCTCCGCCAGCACACCTGCCACCTGAGCGGGACTGGCCAATGAGAGCAGCCGCTCCAGAGCCACACTTCCGGTCATATCAGTGGAGACGAGTGCCGCTTGACCCTTGACCTCCGACAGCACGTTCTCCACAAACAGAGCTGAAGAGACACACAACATTCAGACACAGCTCGAGACCGCTCGATCACAGGAGCAAAAACATGCTTTACACACACACACACACACACACACACACACACACACACACTCTCTCTCTCTCTCTCTCACACACACACACACACACACACACAGAGGTTCAAAAGAACAGCATTTACTTGAAATAAAAATCTACTGTAACATTATAAATGTCTTTACTGTCACTTTTGATCAATTTAATGCATCCTTGATCAATAAAAGTATCTTGCTCCAAACATTTGAATGATAATGTGTGACGGTTTCCACGGAATATTGTCCAGCACAACTGTGTTAATCAGCATATTATACTGATTTCTGAAGATCATGTGACACTGAAGACTGGAGTAATGATGCTGGAAATACAGCTGCGCATCACAGAAATACATTACAGTTTAACAGAGATTCACACAGAAAACAGCTGGTTTACATTGTAATAATATTTCACAATTTTTACTGTATTTGTGATTAAATAAATGTGGCCTCAGTGAGCAGAGCTCCTGTTTTACAGATGTGATCCCTCTTCACCTTTCTCCTCCTCCTCCTCTGTGAATCCCTCGTTCAGTCGATCGCCGACGCGGCGGAAGTAGCTCACGCTCGTGGCGTCCAGTCTTCGTCTCTTGGTCCCGTCCTGCGCGGGCCGCTTCTGACCCACCTTAAAATACCGCTGACCTTTGACCTCCATCTCCTCAACCATCACTTTGGTTTGTCGTTGTCTCTCAGATCTGACGTTCACACCTGAAAATTAGGGCTGTCAGTTTAACACGTTAACTTAAATAGTTATGAAGTGATTAAAATATTTGAGCACTGGCCCCGCCCCCAGACCTGTACGTCATCAGTTCACTGTTGATAAATATGATGCAGGACAACTCCATAAATGCAGTTATGCCCTAAAATTCAAGATATTGGGGCAAAAAATGCCCCTGTATGAGTTTTTGTCTCATATTTATATCACGTTATAAGCGATATCACATGAGTTCTGTATTTGTCACAGAATAGCACGAGTGCAAATGTGATTTTACACAACAGTTCGGCAGCTAAATAAGAAGTTTATATTGTGTTATATTTTAAACACAACATATTCTGTGTTTGCAACCAAAATATTACCTATAAATAAGCCACAGCAGAATTGTTGCGCGTCTGTGAGAAACACAGCGGTGTTTAGTTTCTGAATGAATCCGCGTTTTGAACGAATCGAGTGAATCAATGAGTCAAAGATCCATTCATTAAGAGAGTCGTTTACTGAATTCCTGAATGAATCAGCTGTTCGAACGAATCGAATGAATGAATGACCACCTGCTGGCAGATTTAGTTTATTATTTAGAGTATCATAAAAAATTTAAAAACTTTAAAGGGACAGTTCACCCAAAAAATTAGATGTTCCATAGTTTATGTTGGGCCGTTGTAGGCTAAACGATTATTATATTATATATACATTTCTTTCTAAAGCTACTGTTTGCAATGTCTACTTAATACTTTCTAATTCAACACAAAAATAGCTTAAAATGACCATATTATTAACACGGAAGCATATTTACATGGCAGGACTTTGATATAGACCAAGTTACTAGAGTATGCTCATGGTCTTTTAAAGAATAAAACTATATTTTCACCAGTACTGTTATGTTACAATCAACAAAACACGTGAAAAGTTGATAATAATGCAAGCGACGTTGCGAGTTTTGATGAAGTTAATCAATCAGCCAGCGAGTCACTAGATCAATCAGCCCGATCAGCTGTTGCACTGTTAATCACAGCACGTTTAATGAACACATTACTAATAAATAACAACATCATATTGAGCTTACCAGCGTGCTTCTGCTCACATGTGTACGCGGCGCACTGCGGCAGGCGACGCGGCGTGATGACGTCAGGGCGACGTGAAGTCACGCACGGCGGTTTTCGCAAATAAAAGTCCCGTCACGCTCAACAGCGGCACACGTAAAGATTGATGTTTATTACGCGGTAGTTTTTTGTCCCCCCTCTAAAATGCTATTTTGTGCAGACCTATGGCATATTTTCTACCATTTAAAATTAAATTGTAAATTTAAAATACCATAAATGTATCAAAACTTTATTTTTTTTAGTCATTAGGACAACTTTAAATGTGATTTTCTCAATATTTTGATTTATTTTTGCACCTTCAGATTTTCAGATTGAGGCCAAATATCCTAACAAACCTGGTTTTGTGGTCCAGGGTCACAAATAGCTTCAATTATACAAACCAAAACAGATTTTTTTGTGGTACAGTGTTTCCAAACACGAGGCAAAAAAAGAGGAGATGTTCAGAAATGAGGCTAACAGAGCAATTTCTGGAGCAGAATATTCGACATATTGCAATATATATATATATATATATTTTCAGAATAACAAGGAAATTAATAGAAATTAGTTGTTGCAGCTCTGTACCATAGAGGCTTTGGAACAAGCAAGCAGGGGAGCTCCACGGGCTCTGACTGGGCGTAGCAATTCCATGATGCAGCATATACTCAACTTCTGTCTGCATGACCACACGTTTCTGTGGATTAACTCTGTAAGGATGTTGTTTTATGGGGGCAGCATCTCCAACATCAATGTCGTGAACACACACAGTAGTTCTACCTGGCACGTCCTTAAACAGGGTAGGAAAGGCATACAGTAACTCAATTACGTCCCTAGACTGTTCCTCAGTCAGATGAGAAAGAAAATGTGAAAGATTTTGCAGAACAGCAGAATTCTAGGAAGGGGGAAAGAGTCAGGTTTTGTTACGCTGTTGACCTTCCGATAATCAGTGCAAAACCTGAAGGTATTATCAGGCTTTGGAACAAGCAAACAGGGGGAGCTCCACGGGCTCTGACTGGGCGTAGCAATTCCATGATGCAGCATATACTCAACTTCTGTCTGCATGACCACACGTTTCTGTGGATTAACTCTGTAAGGATGTTGTTTTATGGGGGCAGCATCTCCAACATCAATGTCGTGAACACACACAGTAGTTCTACCTGGCACGTCCTTAAACAGGGTAGGAAAGGCATACAGTAATTCAATTACGTCCCTAGACTGTTCATCAGTCAGATGAGAAAGGAAATGTGAAAGATTTTGCAGAACAGCAGAATTCTTCAGACGAGTAGTGGAAACTGGAACATCACTGTTCATCAAGCCATCCTCCTCTAAGGAGTAATTTGCCACTACACCCACAGTGGCAACAGAGGCAGGCAGCGGAGAACACTCACTCGGTTCTGCAGTCGCCTCAGAGTGAGGTCTGTCTACATAGCTTTTAAGCCTATTTACATGACACACTCGGCTCTTACATTTCCTGTCAGGAGTAGCAATAAGAAAGTTGCTCTCATTTAACTTCCTTTCAACCAGGTATGGCCCAGCGAATTTTGCATGTGAAATAGAACCGGGGTTTGGAAGTAGAACCAACACGGAATCGCCAGGGCGAAAGTCTCTATATACAGCCCTCTTGTCAAAATGCGCCTTCATCTTAGTTTGAGTGGTGGAAAGATGAAGTTTGGCAAGACTTTGGGCTTTGTGCAACCTCTCACGGATAGAAGTGACATAAACATCGACAGGAACCGATTCAGAACTTTGGTTCGGCAATTGTTCACTTAACAACTTTAGAGGGCCATGAACTGTATGGCCAAACACCAGTTCAGAGGGGCTAAAGCTAAGGGACTCTTGCACCGACTCTCTTAATCGCAAACATCAGGAAAGGAAGACCCTCGAGCCAATCCTTCCCAGTTTCCACACAATAACGACGCAGCAGGTTTTTCAAGGTTTGATGAAACCTTTCGAGTGCCCCTTGGGACTCGGGGTGATATGCAGTAGGCATTCGTTGACTTATGCCAAGTGTTTCGAGAGCCTGTTTAAAAACTCTAGAAGTGAAGTTTGACCCCTGGTCACTCTGAATTACTTTTGGCAATCCAAAAGTAGTACAGAACTTTAACAATTCTTTCCCAACACTCTTGGCTTTCAAGGTACGTATTGGAACAGCCTCTGGGAAGCGAGTTGCAGCACACATGATGGTCAAAATATATTGGTGTCCCGATTTGGCTTTCGGCAGTGGTCCAACACAGTCAACAATTAAGCGTTCGAACGGGATATGCCGTAGACATTCGGTGACTTAAGTGTTTCGAGAGCCTGTTTAAAAACTCTAGAAGTGAGGTTTGACCCCTGGTCACTCTGAATTACTTTTGGCAATCCAAAAGTAGTACAGAATTTGAACAATTCTTTCACAACACTCTTGGCTTTCGAGGTACGTATTGGAACAGCCTCAGGGAAGCGAGTCGCAGCACACATGATGGTCAAAATATATTGGTGTCCTGATTTGGCTTTGAGCAATGGGCCAACACAGTCCACAATTAAGCGTTCGAACGGGTCACCCACAGCTGGAATAGGGCACAGGGATGCTGGTGCTGGTGGAATTTTCCGATTGGATTTACCTGCCATCTGGCATACATGACATGACTTACAGAATCTGGAAGCGCTGGTAGGTTTTTGTTATACCGACATGACCAGACAATGCGTTTTCATGGGCAAGTTTCAAGACGTGTTGCTGATAACCAGCAGGTAAGACAATCTGTCGTACTTCCTGCCAGCCTAACTGCTCTAGCTGGGGCTTCCACCTACGCATTAACAATCCACATTCCCAGAAGTAAACCACCCCTGAACCAGATGCATGGGGAGGGCTGCCTGTAGCCAATATACACTTGGCTAGGGAAGGGTCTGTTTTTTGTGCTGTAGCTAAGTGTTCTCGATCTGCCTTCCGTGGCGTTTCAGAGTTTAACTTCTCAGAGGCTACAGCAAGGTCAGAGTCAGAAATGATAGACAGGACACACTCCACAGAGTTAGGATGCTTAGCCAGAAAGGAATTTGAGAGATCCACCAGCTCCTCAAAACTCCAGAGGGTTAAGAATGTTTTGGGTTCAGTAGCCACGGGGCACAGATTACAGCATATATTTAATTTAGTTTATTTACCAATTAAGATCATAAACGCGCGCGCCCGTGTGCTGTGTGAACGCGCCGCGCGCTCCCGTGTGCTGTGTGACCGCGCCGCGCGCTCCCGTGCCGTGACTCAGTGGCAGGCTCGCGCTAACAGTTCCTCTCCGGATCCTAGCGTCACCTCAGCGGCCAAAACATGTCCAAACTGGAGCAGATCCTCATCCTGGAGCCTTCCACCGACCTGAGGTTCAAAGGTAAGTGAGTAGCGCGGACAGTCGGTGTGTTTTGGTGAAGTGAAGCGGGTCTGGCTCGCTGTAATGCTGGAAGCGCGTGTAGGCCGCGGCGGATCCCCGAGCTCGAGTTAACTGACAGACGGCTCTGAGGCGACGTGAAGCGGGTGCCGGTCGGGTTTGCACTGCCGGGTCATTTCAACGTGTTAAGTGCTTACGTGGATACAAACCTTTACAATAAAGCCCTGTGACTGTAGCATGGTATCATAATAGCATAGAGTACTTCCAAAACGTGTATTAA